GCTGCCAGGCTCATCCACCTTTCCATGTCTGCTACCCCTCTCTGCCAATCCCTCCACTGGCTTCCACTCGCCCAATGAATAAAATTCAAAATACTAACTTCTTACAAAGCCATCCACAACTCTGCCCCCAGCTACATCACCAACCTGGTCTCAAAATATCAACCAAACTGCTCTCTTCGATCCTCCCTTGACCTTCTGCTCTCTAGTGCCCATGTCACCTCCTCCCATGCTCGCCTCCAGGCCTTGTCCTGAGCTTCTCCCATCCTATGGAACTCCCTACCACAATCTGTCTGGCTGTCTCCTAATCTATCCACTTTTAGACGATCCCTGAAAACCTCTCTTTAAAGAAGCCTATCCTGCTTCTACCTAGTAAACCTTCATTTATTTCCTCCATCAGTTCATCCCCACAGCTATTACCTTTTGTGTCACTCAACCTTTCCTCCTAGATTGTAAGCTATTTGTTTCCTCTTGTACCAAATTGTATTGTAACTGTAATGTCTGCCTTCATTTTGTAAAGAGCTGTGCAAACTGTTGGCTCTATATAAAGCCTGTATAATAATAATAATAAATAATAATATCTAAGTGTGCTGGTTGTAAAACATATTTCTACCTACTTTGAGCACTTTGGAGAGGAAAAATGTGGTAAAAATTCACAAATTATATAAATATTGACCTATGTAGGACAACGTGTATATATGAAATCTACCAGCCACAGTGGAATGTGTGAATAACAGGGACAATCCTAAAGCACTGCCACCCTGTAATTCCCCATCTAACCAGATTTATTTTTAGTACTAAACATAGATTTATCAGCATCGTTTCAAACCTCCAAAGAAAGCCTGCATCCTAAAAATAACACAGGCCCTTGATGTATTGCAGCTTGAGATTACAGGTTAGCCTTCAAGTTTGAGGAAGGAATGTAAGACATTGGATGGCTGTTAACAAAGCAAGAAATGTGCTTGTATACTCACATCAAAGGTCACATACATTTAATGTGTGTATCAGAAAAAAACATATCCTAAAGTTAAACTGCAGGGAAACAGCTAAACACAATGAAGAAATATATATAAAATCTGTTCTACCTACCAAAGCATTTGTATTTCTTTCCATTCAATCCTGATATTTACACAGCACTACCACACAGCACAACCCTGTCTGGTAAGTGAGGGGACCTAATATCTCTCAGCTGCAGTTTCACTTTTACTTCTCCCCAACCCCATCCCTACCCTGTGACTAGATAGTAAAAAGAAAAGCAGCAAACTCATATGCTCATATTCCTGTCACTCTGCTCTCTCCTCCTATTTATTTATTTTGGGTACTTATATAGCGCCATCAATTTACGCAGCGCTTTTACATATATATTGTACATTCACATCAGTCCCTAACTCTCAAGGGGTGTACAATCTAAGGTCCCTAACTTACATTCATTCATACATACACATACTAGGGCCAATTTAGACAGGATCCAATTCACCTACCAGCATGTCTTTGGAGTGTGGGAGGAAACCGGAGTACCCGGAGGAAGCCCACGAAGGCACAGGGAGAACATGCAAACTCCAGGCATGTGGTGCCGTGGCTGGGATTCGAACCAGCGACCCGAGTACTGCCAGTATTAGAATGTTCCTTTACTGCATCATATATGATCGGCTCCTTGCAATGCTTCCCCTTCTCCAAGTGAGTGTTTGCACTGTTTATATTTAAAAACTTACATTTCATGATGTATTAATGAATAAAGAGCTGCACTAATTTGTGTTTTTTATATTTACAACATAAATATATACTGTATATATGTACATAAATTGACCATACTATATAACAAACTCTTGAGCAGGGGTTTACAAACTTTCTAAACAAGGGGCCAGTTTACTGTCCTTCAAGACTTTAGGGGGGCAGGATTGTGGCCACTGGGGTTAGAAATTGTCCTGGCATCAATGGGAGTAAACAGTGCAGCTTTGGCATTAGAGGAAGGACAACTGCACCATCATTGATGACAGTTCGAGAAATACTGCCCCGTTGTTGGTAGCAGTGGGAGGAAGAGTGCCCCAAGGGCCTGATAAAGGCAAGCACAGCGCCACATCCGACCCCCGGGCCACAGTTTGGAGACCACTGCTCTAGACTACTGTTTGCAAAAGAGGGCTCGATTTTTTATGGCCCTGTCATGTAGCATCGGCCCATGAAATATAAGCTTATAACAACATGAGAGGAACCTGCTCATAATTCTTCAGTCAGCCAGCTAGTATAGCTGTTATACCAGGTCAGCCAATGTGTTTCTGGGGATAAAAGCATCCCTCTTCTTCAGGGCTTGAGCAGTCGATGCTAATAAAGTCAAAACAGCATGCACTAGGGGACCATATATCATTTTCTTGTAAATAAACCCGGAGGTAACTCAGATGTTAGACTTAGGAGATGACATTGTTCTTCTCTTGTACAGTATACTCAGTACATGTGTATTGTTTGTTCTCATGCACAGGATGCTTTGACTGCACTGGAAATTTATTTTATTCTTTACTTTCTTAAAGCAAAAGAAATGAAAATACATCTCCAAAAAGTATCAGACTGAACCCTACCCTTGAAGGGTTTACTCATTAGCAGGAATACCTGCTGCCGGTCATCATAAATAAATACTTTTACTTAGTCAAACTCAGTAGAGAGAATAGGCTAGGTGCCAGTTGCCAGGGTTAACCCTGGAAAAACTCTAACACTGGACACTCTTGTCAACTTGCCTTGTCAATGGCTGACTCCTTCATGATCAGGCCAAATGTGGCTTTGACAAATCACCTCCTACTTTCTTTCTCTGGGAGTCCCAATATTATGTCTCCTTCACTCACAGTTTGCACCAACCCTGCCCTGAGCATTTGTGGTCGGTTGTCTCAAGTCAAAAGGTCAGAAGCTGCTCAATCTGTTCCTCTCTTTCAGTACACTCAGAGACATCAACCTGTCTGCATATGTGCCAAACATCTTTGTGTCTTTAAAGCAAGCTTTTAGTTTATGCCACAAAATACCAATGCAGAGACACGTGACAGGTATTGAGGGGAAAACTATAGTTTTGCAAACCCCACCATGCCCTTTCTTTGGAATCAAAGGTTTCTACACACACACACATACACACTCACATAATTGCATGATAACAGTGATGGCATGCCAGACGTATGTGTACTAACTGAAAATGCTAAATATATTTTTCCCTTTAAAATGGACTTGGTGTCCTTTTCCTGAAAAGGAAAAAGGGAGCCATTGGTGACTTGACTATGAAGGTGCTCACTCCAGGATTTTCATCCTAATCCTTTTATTGCTACTTGGTGAGCCAATGACATGCATGTGTATACCAGCTGGAGGTAGAAGTTCTGTTGGTGGGCTTCACTGAAAAAATGTGGAGTTCTTTGGACATCACTTTGAGACACTTCTGAGATCATTTAGAATTAATTTCAGGTATAGTTGACCCACTGCTGACTTATTTTAGCTGCTGTTGCACTCCCATTAACTGGTATGGGAAGAAAAGCAGTTCTGAAGCAAACAAAGCATGTTGATACTAACCCTAACTCAGTAAAGCATTGGTAATGATGACAACCTTTAAAAATGAACTAACAGTGGTGGCACCCATATGTCTCTCCTGTCGGCTTTGTACATAAGGTGCCCAGCTACAAAATTCCACAAAATTATAACTTGTTCCCTTAACGTCACGTTTGTACATTAACACTGACTGCTAATCACAGAAACAAAGTTGTAAAACAAAGTACTCTTATGAAATTGTTGGTCTTAAGTCAAAACATTCATCTTTTACTGCAGTGTACCCTTAAAGGAAACCTGTCAGTACTGACTGCTACTTCTGAAAATGCTTGTTGAGTGGCTGTTATGCTAATCCAGTTGCTGTAGTACTTCTGACTTTTCTGATCTGCACCCTTTTCTGGAAAAGTATCTCAAAGTATCAAAGGAAGTGGGACAGCATGACATCTGGGCAACTAATTATTTTAAGATGGGGATCAGCAATGGCAGCTCCTCTATTTCTCTCAGGACAGGTTTACTTTAAATTGTCATAGATACTGGGGGATATTTACTAAAACTGTAGCACACAGAATCTGGTACAGCTGTGCAAGGTAGCCAATCAGCTTCTAACTTCAGCTTGTTCAGTGAAGCTTTGACAATAAAACCTGGAAGCTGGTTGGATTCAATGCAGAACTGTACCAGATTTTGCATTCACCTGTTTCAGTAAATCAACCCCATTACCTATTTAATCATTGGGGTACCTATATACTAAGTCACATGGTCTTATAGTTTACATGGTATCGTCATGTGACACTCTAAAAATGCAGAAAAAGATCACAGCATATTATGTCCCATTGTAGGAACTTACCAAGTACTTGGCCAGCATGCACCTTTTGTTGAGTGTGTCAGTAACAGGCATCTACTGTAGATAATGTATAATTGAAAATGTTTTCAATTATACAATTGTACTGTTGTCTCTACAGTATTTTGTACTTGCACAGAACTGCAGTAAAACTAAGAAAAATTATATATTTACAACAATGATTTCAAATTTTCTCACCACGTTCCATATAATGAAGTTCATGACAAGTATTAATGTGCAGCAATATCCTTGTTGTCATTCAATCTCTAAGGATTTTAATCAGATCTGTACCAATATTGCCTGTTCTGACAGATGTGATATCATTAAAGACTTTTTCCCATTATGCTTATTAAGCTTTGCTGAGTGGTATCTATTACAGTCATGAGCAATCACACTGTAATTTCTGAGAACCTCACTGATGGTGAAAATAAGCAGTCTCAGACTTCAAAGGACTTGTTTTGATAAACATCAGCACTCTTCCATTAAAATGCCTTTTTCTGAACTGTAATTAACAGATTTTTGTATTTGGAAGATTAGCATCTCAGTCATTATCAAAGGAATGTATCATACGCAGGTAAGCATTGCTGTGTGATCATTCAGGATGGCGTTAGACAGCACCTAATACAGTTCTAGCATTGAATACCAAAAGACTTACTTGTAGTGGTAGGAACAGTTGTTGTCACAGGAGCAGATGTAGTTGAAGGTAACTTTTTAGGTCTGAATTTGTAATGACCAATAAAGCCATCAGCAGTCAAGCTTAAGTCAGATAAAAACTGAATTAGCAGTTCATTTTTGTCAGATACAATAGGCCTGAAAGAAGGACAAAACAAAATCACAAAAAGTAACATATTGTAATAGCTTGTATTTTGTGTAATAAGAACAAATTCATTTCACTCTTTCTGAATCACATTAAAGTGTATGTAGAGCCAAACATTTGTTTAGCTTTGGATAGGGAATGGTTAAAACCCTGTCAGTATATTTATTTTGTTTTCTGTTCCATTGGAGAGATTTCCTTTCACTTCCTGTACTCGAAATCTTTATAAAGTTAGGGAAATTCCCCTCTTAGACAGTTGTCACCAAGGGTCCCTAATGAACGTTTTACTCTCAGCTCTTAATTTGGTGATGACTGGAACATTTTAGATTTCCCATCACTTTTTCTTTGGCTTGGTGACAATGGTTACCAGAACAAATAGAAGGTGAATCTACCTACCTTGGTTACAGAGAACAAGGGATTTAAACTATTTACCACTCCATTCAAGACTAGAAAAAAATTTGGACTTTATGAGTCCTGTGCATCATTGTAAAAAGTGAACTAACCAAGCACTGCAAATAGAGATTCAGCAGATTCTGTATAATAGTTCCAGCAATACACTTGAACATGGTTGACCAAAGCTGGATAGAATGCTTTCTCCAATAATGCTCAGGCATACTTCTAGAACAGTGATTTATGAGTAAGGATAGCAGTGGTTACAGCAAGGATGAAAAGATGCATCATTCATTAACTCTACTACTGGAGATTAAAACTGCTGTAGAATGAGTATATGGGGCTACCAGGATGCTCTGGACACTAAAGCGAAGTGCGCGGGTCAGCTTTTAGGTACTCCTGGTCGCTTTGCTTAAGTGACAGTTTTTTGGGGGTTTTTTTTATTAACAGGTAGAGACTTTTTTTTATAGTATAGGTTGCATATATCACCATCCCCAAATGATTCTGAAACAATAAAATATAGTAAAAACTGCACAATGCAATATGCCAAACGACCAAAATCATTTGAAAAACTGCTTTATCAAAAAGTTGCTTGATTACACTGTACTGTATGATGTGCATATAGTAGTATATAACATTCCAGTTTCCAATATTTTCCAACTCCATTTACTAATTGCTAATATTTTTTAAAAACCAACCTGCTATAAAGGGAATTTTAGGTTGCAACTTTTGTGTCTATTTTCTTTATTTATATACAGAACCTAAAAAATAATGTTTTTAATGCTTTTTTGTTTAGGTTTATATCAAATATTTTACATTTCATATATTCAATAAGCAACCAACAGGTAGCTATTGGCCAAATTTGTAACTTTCTACCAAGCTGACTTACTGCCATGCAGTGAACAGCTAGGGACACTGTCCCCATGCAGTAGTGCTTGTGTAATAAAAAAGAGCATGACTTGTGTGTAGGAAAATTGGTAAAGATTATAGTTTTATCAATGTACTGAAGCTAATACTGAGTCTGTAGGACAGAAACATGGAGTTTGTATTTGTCAGGTGCAGGGGCGGACTGACCATTGGGGCACTGCCCGAGGGCCCGGGGTCAGTAGGGGGCCCCATGAGATGTCTCTGAAACCTTTCATAGGCTTTTTAGGGTGTGGTTTGAGTGTGGGCAAGGAAACATGGGCCCCATGATCCCCTATTGCCCGGGGGCCCCATGAGTTGTCAGTCCGCCCCTGGTCAGGTGTGTATTCATGCTTCTCTTCCCTGAACCATGTATGTGTAAGTCATTCCACAAAAAAAAAAAAAAAATTCCACATGCTCTGGTGAACATGAGCTGTATTCTTTTCAAACACAGATTATTTTGAATGATTTAAGAAGTATTTTGGCTGGGGTAAAAATTAGATCATGAGATTCCCCTTACAGAATACAGAATAGTTTTAAATATTTCAGTGATGATTTTGCTTTTCTTGGGAGTAGGGCTGCCTAAAAAAATCCTTAAAGCTGAAGACCAGGCAAATGTATTATGTTTATAGTTTTACCTATCAAAGATTTTCAATTCTTTAAAAATAGTCTTATGAAACATTGTCAAACATTAAACAATATAATTGTATCTTCTACAGTTTTCTCTCTTGCATCATACTGACCATAAAAAAGCCTAATGGCATATTGTAGGTGGAAATCCCTATGTCCCCCATACCCACCTTAGAAATGCCTAGAAATGCTTAGAAATAACTGTCCCCCATCCGCAGCCAAGTAATATCCTTAAAAATACTATTGCCCAGTGACTGGCTATTACTCTAGAATAAAACAGAATGAGATGGCAGGCATTGATGAGAATCAACAAACACCGTTCTGCCACATGAGATAGTGATAGAGCCCACTTTTATCATGGGAAAATACAATTCATATTGAATCTACTAATCAGCTGTGTACACCAAGAAAAGTCTGCAGAGACCTACTAAGCACAACTCAAATGTATCAGTATATTGTATATGGTGTAAACAAAGCCTTTAAAATAATACAGCAGAAAGGGCATGGCAGCAAGACCAAAGATCATTAGGTTAAAAATGATACTAACACACACTATTTAATTTACATTATCACTTCTGTTTCTGTATGTGGATGATGGGACTGTAATTATTTAATAAAAAAAAAAACAACCATCTAAGTACCTTTTTCAGCTGTCACATGACCAAGATCTTTCCCAGCCTGCCTGAAGGGAAACATAAGCAGGAGGAGCCTCTAGTCCTCTGCTGCTGATCATATGTTCAAAATTAAAAAAAAACAGCCTTTGGAATTCAGAGTACAAGTAAATAATTAATATCAATAAACTGTTTAATTGTCATACAAATATATATTTGAAATCAAATCTTTATTATTTTGTGGAAATAACATGGTGTGGGAAGATTTCTGCCAGTCACAGGTTGTGTCACACCCCTCCAGCCTGTGTCTTATAATAAGAGGGAGGTGATTCCTCAATTAACCAATTCAATACCGTGCAATTTTACACCTTCCTGCCCAGGCCATTTTTCAGGTTTCAGCGCTCTTACACTTTGAATGACAATTGCGCGGTCATACAACACTGTACCCAAACTAAAATTTTTTCATTTTCTTCACACAACTAGAGCTTTCTTTTGGTGGTATTTAATCACCGCTGGGGTTTTTTATTTTTTGCTAAATTAACAAAAAAAGGCCAAAAATGTTGAAAAAAATACACGTTTTTCTTTGTTTCCGTTATAAAAATTTACAAATAAATAATTGTTCTTCATAAATTTAGGCCGAGATGTATTCTGCTACATGTCTTTGGTGAAAATAACCCAAATTAGGATGTATTATTTAGTTTGTAGGAAAGTTATAGAGTTCACAAACTATGGTATAGATCTGATTATTGATCAATCCTGAAGTACTGACGGCCAATCTAATTTCTTGAGGTCTAAGAATGTCAGAATAGTACAGATATCCCCCAAATGACCCCTTTTTGCAGAGTAGACATTCCGACGTACTTCATAAGAGGCATGGCGAGTTTTTTGAAGTTGCATTTTTTTTGTCATAATTTTTCGGAAAATGAAAAAATTAAAAAAATTATTTTCACTATTTTTTTTTTACATACTGTCACCAGTGCAGTACAGAATCATCATATAACTGGCATGGCGGTGAACAGGGACACTGATTGGTGACAGTATGAAAAAAAAAATATATATATATATATTTTTTTTTAAAAATTTTTTTTTTTTTTTATTATTTTTAATTTTTTATTACTTTTTTTTATTTTTTTTTAACATTATTTTTTCATATTTTACTATGACCAAAGTAGTACAATGTTACCATAGTAACATTGTACTACTTTGGGGAAGTGATCAGTATTTTTTTTTTTTTTTTTTTTTTTTACACAATTTGCTTATAGCAAAGAAATACTTTGCTATAAGCAAGCATTTACCTGAATGAAATGGATTCATTCAGCTTTTTTTTTTTTTGTGCTTAGCTGTGATTTGGTCACAGCTAATCACATGACATGTGCATGTGATTAGCTGTGACCATTCACAGCTAGGCACTAGTATACAATGGATGGCATCATGAATGAAGCCATCCATTGTATACAACTGTCATGTGACCTGCTGTGATTGGTCACAGCAGGTCACATGGTACCTGCAACGGAGCCGGTACTCGGATCTGTCATCGGCCGTGTCCGAGGTACACGCCCGGTGACAGATCGAGCCGCTGCGCCGCTCTGCATTAGCGCAAACGGCGCATGTGCGGGAGCACGCCAAATGGCGTGCACCCGGAGTGGAGAAGCAACTTTCAAGCCGCCAAACGGCCATTGGCCGGGCGGCAAATGGTTAATCTTCATATAATATCCCACCCCCTTTGTTTTAGCTGATTAGTGGGTATGAAGAAGGAGAGAGGGAGTGAGCTGTCATTTACCACTGTGTATACACCCACAGGTATCACATGGGCTGCTCAAATGTGATAGGTAGGAAATGGTCAGCAAAGAAACTCACTGAAAACTGAGCATGTGTAGAGTTGCCTCAACAGCTGCAAAATCCCCGGCTGAATTGGGGACATGAACAGGAGGTGGAGATAGAGAGCAGCAAACCAGGTTTTTTGCAGAATACAGAAAACTGTCATAGTGACTGATTATGAACAGTATGTAATACAGCATTTATTGATAGTTTTTTAAGATGTGGGTTTAATGACACTTTAACTCAAGGTGACGTTGAAAGTGCAGCTAGTGGAGTACTTAAGGAGGTGGGGGCTCCATTTAAAATTTTGGCCAGGGTTCCTCCACCTTGCTGTGCCCCACACCTATGCAGGCCTTTCCTTCCTCCTGTGCACCCACTGTACTGTGCTGTGTAATGCAGAATACAAACAGTTGTGATAGATTCTGCCCAGCAGAGAAGCATGGAGAAGCTACCACAGTGCTGCTTCCTCATGTGCTCCCAGGCTAATGTACTGTATGCATGTGTTAACCTGTTGCTGTACAGTATTATAGAATGTTTTGATACTTTATATTAAAAAAAATAAAATACACTGGCAGGTAAACAATTCCTCTTAGAATTATTTCATCTGTGCATTAAGCTGTTTGCCTGGAATTCAGCTTTAAAATAAAAAGTATGGGTTTAATAAAAAACAAAACAAAACTATACTCACTTGGTTGGATGCAGCTTCGGTCCAAAGCTGCATTCCCCCCCACCCAGCTGTAAGACCAAGAACTGAGCAATCAAACACCGCTGACTGCTCAGCTCTCAGTCTTCAGGCTGTAGACAGCTGGTGACTGTCAATCACCGTCTCTCTGCTCTGCCCCTCCAGGGCACACAGGAGCACTGGTCCGTGGAGGAGGTGGGAAAGGCTTGCTGAGAGGTTGAGCCAGCTGCCGCTACAGACATCTGGGTGGATCCTGAAGGAACTGCTATCCTGTGATCCAGTGAAAAAAAGGTTTGGCTATACTTCTTCTTTAAAGTGAATTTGTGCCTTCAGTAGAGCTTTCAAACCACTGCTTCCTATGTAGAGAAGACACCTCAAGATGTTTGATAGATTTTATGCAGGTAACTAATAAACCCAGTACCATGGCAATCTGTTATTATGCCTATTGTTGTTCTGCCTGCCTCTTCCCACCTTCAGAGACTATTGGGTTACCACTGTGGGGGGTGTCCTCACTAACCAATGCTGAGTCTAAAGAGTCAGGAACAAAATTGGTGCCCAAGAATTACCTCTGCAGAAAACTGAACCAGATATTTATGCGATCGGTAATGTGTACACTATACAAAAACGGGTATTTTTATAACTGTATCATAGCCCTAGGCTTCCAATAAAATGACAGTAATAGGCACTATTTAAAGTGGTTCTAAAGGTTGAAGGTTTTCTACCTTCACGCATTCTAAAAAAAAACCTACAGTATGCAGGTCCCCTAATACTTACCTGAGCCCCATCGCAATCCATCATTAGCTGAGGAACAGCAGTGGGAGCCACTGGTTCCTCCCACTGTTGTTAATCACAGCAAGTGAGGGAGAGAGCAAGGGTGGGGCTGAGCCATGTTCTGTGTGTCTTATGGACAAACAGAGCAGGGATTAGGAGCCAGAAGCGCCAGCAGGGTACTCGAAAAGAAAAGGATCTGGGCTGTTCTGTGCAAGAGCAGGTAAGTGTGATATTTAAAAAATAAATAAACTTAAAACTTTTAATATCACGTTAAGAACTTGTTTTTGAATAAAAGACACTATATTGTAGGTACAGATTCTTAAAAAAAACAAGAGATAAGTCAGAAAAATTAAAAAATAGCCTTTCCAAGTCAGTATTTCTACACAGCTATTTCTTCTCCCTTGCAATTCAACTGTTGAATAATATCATCTTTTCAAATAACAGATCATAAAGAAGTCAAATCTTTGAACCTAAAGCAAAATTTTCCTTACATAAACATTTATGGTTAAGCTGATATTCTAGGTTATGTGAAATAATTAACTTGACAAATAGTTTTCATTACTTCATTTATCAAATGATGCCTATATAGCTAGTTGCCATGATGGGAAATGCAGAAATATGTAATGCTGTGTCTATGTGAATATAGTATTCAAAAGAAAACTGTGCACAACTGTAAACTGATCCCCACCATGGCATCAAGTAAAATTTCAGCACTTTCAGTATAGTACAAAGGATAGTTCAAGAGTCTGATTTTAGTATTGAATTGGTGATTATACTTTTAATTTTTAATTGCAAATCACCAAAAGGAACAGTTCTGTATAAATATTATCTTCACAGAAGCATCTGATTGTAGTATACACATGGTAATATAATAAATACAAACTTTCTGTTGTTTGAGCACAGTACTTGTAAATGAATATACATACATATGTATGTATGAGTACTCACGCAGGTGGACTGTCCCCACAGAACTTCCCAATCCTTTTAGCATCATTTATTTCTCCTCCATTGAATATTGCAACATAATCATACCGGCAGTAATTGTCTCTTTCCACATCAAACTTCTCAAACTTTAATTCTATAACCTTAAATTAAAAAGATATATACAGTTATAATAAATCATTTTTAAAAAATTACAAATCAAACCCTCCATCAATGTGCAAAGATCTCTCCTATCAGTTACCATCCCAATAAATAACTCCAAAAAGATCATTCCTGCAGCTCTGCTTTACAGTAGCTAGCTATCTAATAAATGTAATGAATGATAGCAGATCAGAGTGCACAGCTTTCTTGGTTATCTAGTAGTGGCTAGGTTTAGGACTTAGCTTAATCACATGCTAAAAGTCTAAGAACCACTATTTCATATAAAAACAAGGGAATTTTGACTTACCTGGAAATTTCTTATCTTGGAGTACAGTACAGGACATAGGACTTGTATTAATAGACCATAGGATATATGCAGGCTACCTTCAGGTGATTGGTCATTAGCAAAAGACTAGTGCATGCTCATATAACCACACTTAACTCTGTGAGACTGCAGTTTTTTTTGCAAGCTATAACAAGTGACCACAGTAAACAGAGGGGATGCTTCTGTATCCTATACTGTACTCCAAGTAAAAGAATTTACAGGCAAGTCAAAATTCCCTTTATCTTAATTGTACAGTACAAGACACAGGGCTTGTATTCACAGACCATGGGACATCTCAGAGCAATAAACTGAGGGGTGGGCAACAACATGGCAACAGCATGGCAAAAAGAACTGCCAGCAGGCCCACAAAGAACAAGGGTTAAGAAACCTGAAAAAAAAAAAACTCAAACGACAGCTTGAAGCACCCTGTGGCCAAAGCTCGCATCAACCCAGGCTTAAATATCCACCTGGTAAAACCTGAAGAACCCAAATAGAAGTGCTACAAACTGGAAGTGCTGGTCTCCCACAGCAAAGTGTAGAAAGTGTTGACATGGAGGGAAGATGAGGATATGTAAATAGGCATTTTGTATGTCTTCTGAAGCGAGAAATTCCACTTGTGTGAGATAAGCAATGACAGTTCTAGTTGATTCCATCTGAAATTATGATACACAAAGAAGTCTGTTTAGATACTTTGAGTCTAGAATTGGGTGGATGCCCCCATTTGGTTTGAGGACTGTGAATAGGGTTGAATAAAAACGCTGGAATGTTTCCTTTGAAAAATTTGGTACCACCACCCCTTGTGACTGAATTTGTCACAAGACAGAGTAAAACTGCTGTTTTTTGAGCTGATGTTGGCAGATTTGAAGGTAGGAAGCAAGGTGAGGACAGAGATTGAAATTCTATTTTGTACCCCTTTGAAATTACTTAGGGGACTCAGGGGTCCAAGACTTGCAATGAGAGGAAGCACTAAGCTTTGGTTTTCTCTAGCCTGGCAAATAGACATGGCAGCAATTTCTGGCTGGAAGACTTGACCTGCAAGTGCAAATGAGGTCTTCATGAGTGCTTCAAAATGCCTCTTAACTGAATCCTTAAATTAGGGAACATTCTCAATAAGAGCTGCAAGGTGTTTATTTAGGACTGAATTCATAGTATCTACCAATGGTACAGCCAATTTCTTCTTAAAATGCTCATAGGATACATTCCAGCAAAAAGCTTAAAGCTCTTTTGGTTTACTTCTGTGAATCACAGGAGTGCAGTTCATTCTGCACTCCTGTGACCTGTTTTCAGGTGACAGTGGACTGAAGTTCAACCGTTCCAGGCTGGGAAATAATCCCAACTTTAAAATCGGCCCAGAGTCTGGAGTGGCATCTGGCTCAGCCAGCGAGCTGCTGAGAGCCTGAGGCAGCCGCTCCTTTCTCCTGCACAGCCCAGCACTCCAGTGAGCGCTGGCAGGGCAGAGCAGACAGGAGTGATCGACAGTCCCGCTCCCTGCTGAGAGCGGCTGTGAGAACTCAGTGATCAATGGTCATGTGATCATTGAGTTCTCACATTTAGAGTCAGCGAGGGACAGATGCAGCATTGGGCTGATGCTGCATCCACCTAGGGAAGTATAATTGGAAGGGGGGGGGGAGCCCTACTTCTTTTAAGAAGAGCAAAAATCCTTTCAGTATTAGACCAATCCTCATATAATGCAATTTGTGTATGGATAGAAAACGTCTTTTTTTTATTTTGCCAGCCTCCTAGTGCCCATAGAGGTTTGTTTTACCTATGGAGAATCTGGTTATGCTAGCAAAGACCAGTTTGCACCATGTCAATGAGTGTGTTGACTGTGCAGAGCATTTATTGAGAAACCACAGCTTGTGGCTCATAAAATGCAGGGGTTGAAAAATCCTCTGCAACATTCACTACATTTTGTGCATCCCCATCGCTTTCCTTCATTTCATCCTCAAAGAGTTTGGAGGTTCCATCTCTGATTCAGGAACAGAGTCAGAAAGGAGAGGAAGTGTAGCATTTTAGGCTTGAATCCAAAGGTTCTAAGAGTGCCAAACGTTTTCCAAAGAATTCGAACAGTGGCAGAAAAATCATCTTTTGTCAGACAGGCTGCATGGTGTGCACCTGAGAAGAAGCTAAAGTCAGAGTAGGGGAGCGGTGTCATAATAAGACATTGCTCCAGGACAAGGGAACAGCTATCACCCTAAGTGGCATTTTGATTTTTCTGTAGGGCTTTTGCAGAACACCTGTTATCCACCATTATCCACCATTGCTAAGGAGAGGGGATCCCAGTATGGTACTCAGAATGCATGGGGTTTTAAGTTTTATGTACCTGCAATACAGCAGCTGCTATAACCAAGGCACTGAATATATTAATAGCCTTAGATATAAGTACAATAGGGAATAACACAATAAAGTGAATAACTCCCCTTTCATGTGCCTATGTATCTGCTTTCTGTGCTAAGCACCACGTGTTGTCAATTGCCAGTAATGGTCCAAATTAGAGAGAAGATCTGCCTTACCTTATCCATGTTCCTGGGCCCCATAGGGGTCCAGGCTTTACTCGCAATGGTGACCCTACCCCCAGAGAGGTGGGAACCATATACATGAAGGATCTGAATCTGTATAGCACCCTGCAGCTAACTACACACATTGCAACAACATGCCTAAATTAACGCCTAACGCAGAATCTAATTCCTGAACCAAACATTACAGGCCAGCATCACACAGTGGAGTCCAGGTACAGTCCCTGAGGAATATTGATCTGGAAACTAGATATCCCAGAGCAATAAGCAGTCAAATTGAAGTGTCTGATTTAAAAAAGAATGGTTAACAAAGAAATAAACTTCACCAAATGAGAAGTATTTCATCACCAAAAGACGCCAGTAAAAGACTGCATTGAAAATTATAATTAAACTGCCTCTGAATGGTGTGTGAAATGTAGGGGAGGGTTTACTCACTCCCCACATCCCCTCACTGTCTACAACCACAATGGTACATCTTCCACGTTGCACCCGTAATCTGATGGGGCACAGCATGAAGAATGTTGCTAAGCATTGAAACGTTGAGCTGTGCTGAGTAATGAGGGTGTGGGGTTATTTATTCCCCGCTTCCCCTCAATGGCTACATGCAGCTGGCAGGTGAGGCAAATTAAACCTTCCATGATGTACCTGGTAAGAGAGAGGGTGCAGCGTTAAGAAAAAAAGAAAACCGGAGTTTTAGAAAACAGATTCCTCGCAAGTGGCTGGGGATTTGGATTTTAACACCCCCCCCCCATCCTGGCGCTCTAAGGCAGCTGCCTAAGCAGCCTTGTACTGCCGCTGGCCCTGCTTGTACATTTTAATAAAAATCTGTACTTCGGATACCTTCATATATCTAAACATTTGTTAGCAGATAATGCATTCTTAGCACTCACCATCAGTTGCATCCTTTTGGAACACTAGAACAAATTTTAAGGGCTTGTGTCAACAGGGTTCAGGCTTGTACAGATGGCATCAGTTTGACACCAGTTTAAGAGACTTCTGAGATCATTGAGAATTCATTGACCAGTGCATTGCCCCTAGTTTTACATTCCCATAGACTTGTATTGGAATGCAAAACCCATTTGAAGCAAAAAAAAAAAAAAACACAGCCAACAGACTCTAAGTCTGCTAAATACCATCACTCTGCTGTGCACTTAACTGGGTTCAATTAATTGATATTACAAAAGATAAACAAATTTTATTTTAAAAAAATTTTCCTCCCTATAAATCTGGTGTTGGCACACTGGCTATGCCAGAAAGTGACACCTTAATTGCATTTTAATTATTTTTTTTAATTTACAATACCTTTACTAAATAATTGAAGACAAAAAAGTGATAGCACCTATGTCTAAAAATAAAAGCGTAATGAATTTCTCACCTGATGTTTAGGTGCAACAATATGCCAGGAACATGTGACACCAGCTGGGTAGTCTCTATCAGGCCAGTTTGGAGTTTTGAAAGTTCCAATAGGTTTGTCCAGCCTTCCTCCACAGTACTGATCCCCTGTAATCACAGAAAAGTTGCTAAGCTGACTACATATGGGAAGATCTTATTGTTCAATTCAACTGCCAAATAATCAGATCAGTTGCAAATGCATAGCTGGCTAAAGTCAGAGGAACACAAATAATCTAAATAAAAGAAATAGGTTAGAATAATAATTTAATAATATAATTTTTTTAAAATCATAATATTAAATAGTGTATAAGTATTTCCCCTCTTATTCCTCATAACAAAGTTAGTGCCTATACTTATTCAAGGAGTAGTTCATATTTATTTTGTTATTGTATTAACATTAAGAAAAAAAAATCTACAAATAAATTACTTCATGATTTTTTTTGACAGGCAGACCTCTTTTGAAAACATTGTTACAGCCAGTTATTTGCTTTATGCTTTGAAGCACACACCTATATATTGATTTATTGTAAATACAAAGCTAGTACCTCTTTCATTGGGTTCTGCTGCTGAGAACATTGCTATGAAACCATTCCCTGCTGTGTTGGCATCTGACACCATTTGGACCAACATCTTGTTGCTGCTGGATACAAGAGCTCCGGGTCTAAAAGTACCACAGAATCGCCCAATGCGCTGTCCATTTGAATGACCACTGTAAACATCCACAAAGTCATATCTGCAGAGATTGTCACTTTCCAAGTCAATGAAACGGAATGTCAAGACAACCACTTTACCCTCTGGAACCTAAAAGAGAGAGTCGGCATTATTATTAAACAATAGTGATGTCTACAACATGAGTCTAATGCTTTTTGTCCTAGTGCACATTAAGGTCCACTTAAAATAGCTGAGCCATGTGAAAATGTCTACCAAATATCCCACATTCTATCCACAATTTGCCTTTTATTGTCTCTCAAAGAGATAATCAGGAAGGTTACAGAGCATGGAATCATGGGTCAAAGACCTATCGTCCCATTCATATATGTCAGTTGAAGAGAAGCATTTTGAGCAGGTTGCCTAAAACAAAGATTTAACTGGAGGGCTTCCACCTTTAGCACAGATGTACTTGAATTCCTAAATCCAATATATGTTTTTTTTTTACTGTCTTTGCCTCAATTTGAAGCACATCTCCTCTGCTATCCTGTAAAAAAATAAATAAATAAAGAGCACTGGCTTTAATTAGGCTACTACAGTATATTTATGTCACATTCTTTGACCACCATATGTTGCCCTCACAAGTGAAAAAACAAATGTGCCATAGTAACTATGAGTGTAGCCTTTAGAAAGATTATTTTCCCTACAGGGCTTCCTATTGGTGTTTCTTGCTGGCCTTTGTTGGTCCACTGTTTACAAAAAGTAAATGGAGGTTTAGTGTAATTGCATCTTGATGCAATTAACGTGGAAAGACAGATGTTATTTTTTAGGAACTAGATGGGAAGTGTGAAAATTGTCAAACCAACCTGTTATAGCTACATAATCCTGTCATTGATGTTAAGAAGCCTTCATAAATGTTAATCTGTACAAATTTGCATGGCAAAAGGTATGAACTATTATCAAAATGCTGGTATTATATTGTCACCAAGAAAGAAAGTGATGGAGAGATAAGGGGAAATCTTCCAGCTGAGTCACCTACTCAGGAGACAACTCATTAAAAGTGGGGTATTAACCTAATTTTGGGAGATTTCCTCCAACTTCCTGTAGCATTTCTGGGACAAGAAGTGAAGGGAAATTTCTCCAATGGTACACAGACATTAAAAAATAAATAACCCGGCAGGAGGTTTAACCCTTTCCAACTTTGTCCAAACCTTTGGCTATGTATAGACATTAAGGCTTAGCCTGCAGTTTGAAGGCCACACAAAGTCCCATGGTACCTACAGTACTTTGGCCTGCAGACCTTGTTAACAATGAATTCTATCCTATCAGGGTTACACGACCTTCTTACATCAACAACTGAAATGGTGTCAACACTGACAGCGGCATTTCTGATCCCACCAAAAAGTGGATTGTGCTACCAACATTCCTCATGAGAGGTTTGCCTTACAGTAATTATGTACTGGATATCAGCATTTAACACTCTGTAGTATGGCTGTGACAGGGTTTTCAATGCAGTATGACAAGAATGTTTCGAAAGAACACTATTCTAGTTCTACTATACATATGTCAGAATACAAGATATGTCAATAGCAATTATCCTAATAGAAGTTGGGAAAAGATACATTAGCATGCAGCTTGACAGGCTAATATATTGCCTTGAAGCAGCTGTACCCAGTATGAAGGTACATGCTATATTTAACATCAAAGAAAATGAACAGCTGTACTTCGATTGATTTGCATAATATATGCAGATTTAACATAACTATTCCTTATAAACAGAGCGTATTTTTAGTACACTTGGCATAAACAAAAAGCAATTTTCATTTGTTATAGACATTATCCAAAGAAAGTACATTTTGTAAAAATCACCTTGTCAAATCATCTTCATACACAATTAAATGCAATGTATTTTAAAAGATGTGCTTTGTGATGCCTGACAGAATTTCTGCCTAACGAAGTCACACTAAATCCCTGCATTTGAGTGTCATTCAACCATAATTGAATTCCCATTTCTTTGCTATAGAAGAATTATGATTAACTCCTCTACACTGAAAAATATGTGCACGTTCTACTTGTGTTTGAACGCAGTGTGGAGTGTTTTTTGGTGTGTTTTGTATGTGTTGACTTTTGAAAGGAAATGGTGAGTGGACGGGGGTTTCTGTATTTTTTTTTTATACAACTCACAGTTAACCTGTGTGTTATATAGTTTTTATTTGTCAGTCAAAACATAATTAAAATGCTGCTAGCCAAGGTTGTCAAAACCATCCTGTACATGAAAGTATAAAAAAGTTTCATTCAGAAAAATGGGATCCATATTTTAATAGACATGCTTTAAAAATGCTGGAAAACAAATTGTTGTATTTGTGCACTTACCTGGGTATGGTTGGAGACTGCGTCCAGGTAACTTACATACAGTGCATCCAGTAAGTGCTTAAACTTTGCCACATTTTGTTATGTTACAGCCTTATTCCAAAATGGATTAAATACATTTTTTCCCTCAACATTCTACAAACAATACCCCATAATGACAATGTGAACGAAGTTAGTTTTGAAATCTTTGCAATTTATTAAAAATAAAAAACAAACAAAAAAACACATGTGTATAAGTACATAAGTATTCACAGCCTTTGCTTAATACTTTGTTGAAGCACCTTTAGCACCAATTACAGCCTCAAGTCCTTTTGAGTATGATGCTACAAGCTTGGCACACCTATTTTTGGGCAATTTCTCCCATTCTTCTTTGCAGTACCTCTCAAGCTCCATCAGGTTGGATGGGGAGCGTTGGTGCACAGCCATTTTCAGATCTCTCCAGAGATGTTCAATCGGGTTCAAGTCTGGGCTCTGGCTGGACCTTTCCAGGACATTCACAGAGTTGGCCCGTAGACACTCCTTTGTTATGTGGGCTGTGTGCTTAGGATCGATGTCCTGTTGAAAGATGAACCGTCACCCCAGTCTAAGGTCCAGAGCACTCTGGAACAGCTTTTCATCAAGGATGTCTCTGTACCTTGCTGCATTCATCTTTCCTTCAATCATAACTAGTCCCCCAATTCCTGCCACTGAAAAACGTCCCCACAGCATAATTCTGCCACCACGCTTCACTGTAGGGATGGTATTGGCCAGGTGGTGAGCGGTGCCTGGTTTCCTCCAGAAATGATGCTTGGCATTCAGGCCACAGAGTTCAATCTTTGTTTCATCAGACCAGAGAGTTTTGTTTCTCATGGTCTGAGAGTTCCTCAGGTACCTTTTGGCAAACTCCAGGCAGGCTGCCATTTGCCTTTTACTGAGGAGTGGCTTCAGTCTGGCCACTCTACCATACAGGCCTGATTGGTGGAGTGCTGCAGAGATGGTTGTTCTTTTGGAAGGTTCTCCTCTCTCCACAGAGAAACACTGGAGCTCTTTCAGAGTGACCATCGGGTGCTTCCTGGCTAAGGCCCTTCTCCCTTGATCGCTCATTTTGGCCAGGCGGAAGATTCCAGGTGGTTCCAAACTTCTTCCATTAATGGATGATGGAGGCCACTGTGCTCATTGGGACCTTCAATGCTGCAGACATTTTTCTGTATCAAGGCACAGATCTGTGCCTTGATACAATCCTGTCTCAGAGGTCTATGGACAATTCCTTGGACTTCACAGCTTGGTTTGTGCTCTCTGACATGCACTGTTAACTGTGGGACCTTATATAGACAGGTTTTTGCCTTTCCTAATCATGTCCAATCAACTGAATATCCCACAGGTGGACTCCAATCAAGTTGAGGAAACCTTTCATGGTCTTTTAGAGGCAATACACAAGCTGATACCACTGCACTTACATCTAAAAGAGGCCAGAACCCCTGCATGTGATGCAAACATGTGCTGCACAGATGTGGAAAATTGTTTTTCTATATAACATAGTACAGAGTTCCTGTCTTAATTCATATGCTGCTGTGCAGTAGCAGGTTTAACAACTTTTGTATGTTAAAAATAATCATTAAAGGAAGATAGATGGGCTTAGCCTGTACTCAAAGATGTAGGTTGCAATTCCTGACCTCTCCTTGAAAATGCTAATTACATGGCTTTCTAATCTAATATAGTGGCCAACATTTTTTGGCTCACTATCCTTCATTCAGACTTTTTGCATGATTGTTCTAGGTCAATGATTTAGAAACTGTATGTAAGATCAACTAGTATGAACAACCATAAAACCCATTAGATTTTTGTTTTGCACATTTTTTTGCTGACAATACAACCTTCTCTGTAAGACAAACTGGACACAGCTGTTGTTAAATGAAATACTATAGCTGTACAGAGAACCATAGCCATACATCAACCCATATGTTTCCTTTCCCCAAAGTCTGATCCATCCCTATAGACATAACCACACCCTTTGACCAAAGCCGGCCATACATGGATCGAACTTCGGCCAGTTCAGCAGGGACCGTCAGAATTCTGATCCATGTATGGGCACCCTGGTTGTACATGATTTGATTTATCATTCGACTTTTGTACAACCAGCCTGTTGGGTTTTTTCCAAACAATTAGTGCCATTGGCTATAGCCTGGCAACACAAATCATTGAGTTGTGCCGGAGGGGAGCCTTCCCTGCAAGCAGAACACAATAGTGCTGCGGGAGGGATTCCCTCATCAATACTGACTGTGTTGGTAGGTGAATTGAGCAATTTTCCTTCCTTCCACCCATGGTGGAAGAAAAGAAATTGCAAAATCCATTGCCTGCCTACGCTTTGACTAAAGTTCAGAGTGTAGCATATGAACAGATCCCAATGGAAATGTTGGTCATGACTTTGCTTAACCTTTGCACCCTACACTTCTATTATCTGGTCCACACTTCTTTATGAATTGATTCTCATTTATGAAATGAACCAGGAGCCATTGCTCCATTTCAGAAAATGCGAAAGATGGATAGTTGGCTGGGTGTAGCATATTCTTACTGCTGCCAGAAAAATTTTCAGAAGAATAATACCACTTTCTCTTGAGGCTCTACAGTGGCTAAAATTAAACGATTATAGAATGCTATCAAAGCAATGACACTTCATTTTCAACTGACAAACTACAATCCTATCCTCCTCTACAACATCTATTCTGTTACTTCATAATGCATGTTATGCATGGGTTATCTGGGCCTCATGCGGTATTATTCTACCTACTGTAGCCCTCATTTTC